TCTCTCTCTCTCTCTCTCTCTCTCTCTGCCAATTACACAGAATTACTAGCATTTGTTTGTCCAGCGCTGGAGTGTATAGTAATGCTGTGTCGATGACTGGCCCTCTCGGGGCGCAACCGATCGCCATAAGTGTTGTCCGGCGCCGACCCGTCCGACTCGTCGTCCGAAACATTGGGCAAACATTTGGCCAGAAATCGTAGTTTACGGCGAAACTCGTCATTCATCCAGCAGTAGATAAACGGATTATAACTGCAAATTGAATGCAAACAAAACAACAACTATTAAAACGTGTCAAATAGATATAGATGTCTATTATTAGCACATGTAAAAGCAAAATACTGTAATACACACAAAAAGTATTATGGTAAAAATCGGCAAAAACAATACCATTAGTTCAGTAGGGTTACCATATTCTAGTTAGTATCCTAAACAGTATTATATCATAGATATGTTATATAATTTACATGTATTTTATATGGCTTTGAAAGTTGCAAATGGATTAATGGCCTTTAAATAAAGTGATGTGACAAATGTCTGACATTTATTTTAAAGTGGATTACCTCTAACTCTATGACAAATACATTGATAGACTAAAGTCATGTATTGCCTAACAATTGCTCTATTTAATTATTTATAAGCTAATACCAGGAGTATAATGTATTATTAAATGTGCTAACAATTAGGGCTGACACTTTATTTAATTAAATTGTTTTTTGTATCTAGCTGACTAGAAAATCAGTTTTAAAATTACATTTATTTAATATATGAAATACAATTTAATATAAAATTTGTAATTGAAAAACAGGTATAAGGCGGTGGAGAAAAAGGGATTAGTGAATAGTTGAGATCTAACAAATTAAATCTAGAGCAAATTATTTTCAATTCAATGACAGACACATGGAAAATCAATTATGGTGTTTTTTTGCTCAGTCGCTATTTTATGCTGGAAATATATGACATTTTTGTGATTTGATTTACTCTTGTCAGTTATCAATGTAATAAAATACATGTATGAAATGTAATTTCATTTTTGTATTAATATTTTAGTGTTGCTTTTTGCGAGTGCACGTGTATTCAATTTAATCAGGGTTAATATTAAATGTGTGTGCGCTATGGCTAGTTTTAACATGTTTTAAAATGTTATCTGATAGACAACTATCACAAATTGATTACATGTATTGTATTCGCATTATGTAATACTGTATGATAAATACACTAATATGTAAGTTTAGCATTAAACCTTTATTAATTATGGCAATTAAAAAGGGTTCATTTAACTTTTTACACGTGCCGTTGCTGTGTATTATTAATATCATTTTGTTTTATTATTTTTAAGTCTGGATTTTTAAAAATATTAATAAATCCTTGAATTAATGTACAAAAAACGTCAGTAAAATTGGAGATTAAAGTCATAATATTTAAAGGTTTTTGACAGAAAATAAAACAAATGTTTTACTAATTATGTAATATAAGTATATTCTAAATCATTTTTAATGATAAATCCAGAGATTTCTTAATAGAAATATTGCAAAAATAATTTTAAATTTGCTTAACGTTTATCTGATAATATGAACTATAGTTTAAAAAACAAAATTAATACAAAACGTCGAAATTACACGAATAACACCTAATTATTTAACTAAACATTTTTGTTATTGTTTGTTAACAGTAACTAGACCAACTGTCTAGACACACTATTAAAATACTAATCAAGGTAACAAATGCCATGGTAATTTGGTAATAAAATATGAAAATTTTTAAAGCCCTTACAAATAATAAATAAAAGTAACATGATACATGTACTAAAAATTATTAAATAACAAAAATGTTCATGATTAGTTAATGTATGACATAAAAAACCTGACAACTTACCAAACATTAGACATCGCGAACCAGTGGTTAATGAAGAATAGGGCAGAACTGAATTGAAGTACATTAAAGTCAATGAGCAGATGGTATACATTGAATGGTAGCCAACAAATGGCGAACACGAGTACGACGAGTACCAGGACTTTGATCCGACGGCGTTTATGGCGGATCAGGTCGACCCGATGCCGGTCGGTCACTGTGCCCACAAACTTGCGCCGACACAGGCTGTAACATATACGCGAATAGCAGGCGCAGGTCATCAGTATGGGCACCATGTACTGGGTGAGAAATGTGAACATGGCCAGTGTTTGTTTGAACAGTTGCCGCGAGCCCGGGGCTGGGTATTGGAGCCGACAGCGGGTCAGGTTCTGCCACTCGGACAACACCACAACCCTATTGAACACACCGTGAGGTAGCGATAGTATGATCGATACGGTCCATATGATGGCCAGTGTGCGGCCCATGCGAGTGAAACCGTTATTATTGACCAAGGTGCGGTACCGTTCCAGCGCGATCACCATCATGGTTATGGTCGAGGCATATACCGAGGTGGATTGGGTCAGTGGGGCTAGAATGCACAGGGTCTGTCCGAATGGCCAGTTGTCCAGTAGAATGCGGGCTATGTTGAATGGTATGTTCATGATGGTCATTAATAGGTCGGCCACAGCTAGATTGCCAATCAACATGTTGGTTGTGGTGCGCGATAGTTTACGCGTGTAAATGACCCTGCACACCAACAGGTTGCCGGTTAGCGAAACCACGGCTATCAGGGCGTACGATGCGATGAGCAAGGTGTTGTAGAATACGATCTTGCTTTTAGATTCGTGTTTCATCTGTCTGATTAAATTGATTAATGTCTGATTGTTGGACATGGTCGTGATTAAGTCGTCGCTGATCATGGCCATTTTACTAGCGCCAATGGCACTGGTGCTTAACGTGGTGTTAATAAGCATTTAATATGTTCGTTTTATTATTATAGTAAGTTCGATTAGTTTATAATGTTTGTATTTAGATTGCAGTCATGAATATTGATAATATGGTTAGTTTATTATAACTATTAATAAATAATACATTATTAAACACGATATATAATTCGCACACGATATCGAAAGTAGACTTTGTTTTCTTGTTTTTGTGAATAATTAATACGAATCCGTATTTATTTATAGAGACTTTTGGTTTTACTGTTAGAGTAAACGAGAAATAAGTAAAGATTTTTGCAAAACACACTCAAAATTCATTCAAATGTATTCATATTTAGTTGTATTTGATTTTCTGCAGTCAATATAGATTTGAAAACATATAAAACTCTTAACTCTTGTGATTACATAAGACTCCGGACTCTCTTTCATTCATTTGGTTTAGAAGTAAATACATGTATAACTCGTGTGTTATATATGTTTTTCGGCGTTCAGTTTCATTCAATTAACAGAATATTCTTTATAGCAATTCCTGAGTTAAGTCTCAGTATATTTCTTGTCCGATTCTGCGCTTAAATTTTGTACAATATATACTGATATACAGAATATACGCTATATATACATGTAGCTCATACAGTAGTAATAAAAGCGAGATCGGTATATATGCACAATGTTTTGTAATATCCCTTTCCTATTAGTTAATTGTATTGTGAGAAGTTTGAGCTTGTTTCTTTTTATTTCTCTCTCTCTCTCTCTCTCTCTCTCTCTTTCTTTTTTTCTTTCTTTCTCTCTCTCGTCTTTCAATAATTGGTTTGAAATAATTGTTGTGTTCATTACATTATGTTTGACTTATTTTAGCGACTTCTTTGAGCGATTCATTGAAAATAAAACAAAAAATGTTTGTAATTATAAATGAGATTAATTAATAGAAAACATGTCAATTGATTACCAAAATTTGAGTGTATATTTTGTTATTTTGCAAAATCATTGGACTACTGTATATACAATAATTAATGAACAAAATTATTAATTACAGAAAACTAACACCAATCTCAAATTTTAAACAGTATTTATAAAGTTTTTAAACCCGTTCGGGCAAAGTATAAAAAATTATCGTAAGTGATTTTAATAATGCATAAGTAAATGTGTAGATTAATGGTTATAGTTTACTTGTAATTATACAATATAATATTACATAACTTTTACAAAGTTAATATTATATCCACCAAAGCGTGTAAATTTTTTAATTTCAATACTTAATGTTTAAATCTAGGTATAATAAAGTGGATTAAATTATAGTTTACGTTTATTTCAAGTGAAGTAAATTATAATTATTTAAATACTTTACATTTTAGACATTTTAAAAATAAATTAAACCATAAACTGTACTTCAATATAAGTTGCTATTAATCTCTCTCTCTCTCTCTCTCTCTCTGTATTTAAAATTTTAAAACACATAATAAGACTATAAAGATTGAAAATTAGAAATTGCTTTTCTCTTACATTTATATAGTGAATAAATATTTTGTCTAACAATAAATGTATACCAAAAAAATATATTCAATTAATAAAAACACTTAAACTATATTTTAAAACAATTAAAATTAAAATGTTTAGATTTTAAACGCGATAATTAAACTCAATATTTATTTTCATACAGCGATTCTGTAAAACATATTTGTCTATTCAAACAAACAATATCTAAATATAGATTCAAAACGACATTTCTTTGATAGTGTTTTGTGTCATCAAATAATTTGCAAAAAATATAAAAATAAAATTTTCGCTAAAAGAGTTGCAATTAAAGCACAATAACTAACAACTAAAACACACTATCACTTACTTTCTGGACCATAAAGGGCTGGCCCTGATTGACACCACCGGCCAGTCGGAAACCCCAGGGTATAGACGGCTCATGCCTTCGTAGCGTAACTAACGCTGGCTTACGAAACGGTGGCATAACTTTTGGTTGTAAATGGCGATACAATTAATGGTATAAGTTATGCTCTTTTGGTGACAATTAATTGATTATTCGTAAGACTTTATGCATAAATACTTGAGTTTTGTTGACTCTCTCGCTAACACACACTCTCTCGGCCTCCCTTTGCCTACACTTTCTCTCCTTTCCAGTGATGTTGTGATACAACGGGATTGACGTCTAGGGATGGGATGAGTACAAGAATATTACGCAATCGACTCCACACTCAACATATCAGTGTAATAGTGGGTTGAGTTGTGTTTGCTTTTGTGGATATATAGTGAAAATATATAGTTTTAAAAACTTATAATACACTGTATTTTGAGAGCGGAGTCGGAGTGGGCTCTGGAGGCCGGAGACGAAGAGATGGATTGTGACGATTAGATGGAGAGAGACATAGGATGTGATGCCAAACGCGTTACTCACTCGCGATTCCCCTTTTATATCACAGACGAGCGGTTCGTTTGTCACACAATAGTATTCTTTGAATTCTAGATATTGTGACAAATTCTGTGTATTATTAGAGATATTATGATTGCTGTGGAAAAGAAAGAGTTGACGTGTAATGAAGTGTATTGTAGTGAATGTATGCAACAATTTAGTCGATATTAATCTCAAACAAAACATGAAAATAACAATTTGCTAAATAATTCATTGCATTCTTCAATATTGTACCAAAACTTTACAATATTTTGTCATTAAATAACTCTATTTTTTATAACTTTTGAAAGTTTATGACTCAAATTAATAACCATGGTCAGTTTGGTGTAAAAAATACTGGTATTTATTTATTAAAATGTATTATTAATTTAGTTTTTTGTCAATAAAATAAATATATTTATAAATTCAATAAAACATAACATCAAATGAGACTTTTATACAAATATAAACTTTTTTACATTAAAAATATTAAAGAAAATTTTAAAGAAAAATATAATAAATTAATGGATTTGTTATTAGATATAAGAGTGGATCCAATTCTTGAGTTCATTTAATTCGAGTCTTATATCAGACCACCGATTTGATCCAACAGTTCCGACTGTTTAGCGCACGCTTCCTATGAATGACAACAAAAATCAATTATAAAACACATTCAGACAACAAAACAGCCACTCATGAGGACAGTGGCAGTCAATGGTAACGCTATAATCACCCGCAATAGGTCTAATTGGGGTCTAAAGTCGTTCACAATTGTCACAAATTGTTTTACAAGACACTCGTGTCTGTGGAGCCGATCGCTGGCCTCCGACTCCTTGTCGTCGAGCACTGCCTTCATCTGAACCCCATTGGACATCAATTTGAGGATCAGATCTTCGTATCGACAGCTCATTTCCCATATGACGTCCGACCAGTTCTTCTCATTCGCTTTCAATTTGAACGCAACACTCAAGAGGTCCGCAAAGTCTGGAGTTGTGTCCACCGACTCGTTAGTCCTCTTCATCTTCGGACCCGTCGGCCCATCGATGGCCTCCTCTTTGGCGCACGTCTTGTCGTCTCCGCCGCCGACGACCGGTAACTCTTTGCTCTTGCGTTTGGATGTCATCTCTCGAGTCGTTTGTATTGTAATCGATGTGTGAATTGAATGACAGTTCAAGTGATGTCTTCTCAAAGGCTTCCTCTCAACGAATGGATGAATGAATCGAACGATCGGTTTGTGCGGAAGAAAGAGAGCGAAGACTAACCACACGTTCGAAACACTGAACACTAACGCAACGAATGAGCGCTCAATTAGGCGTCCAATCAATGGCTGACAACTAATTATAGACTAATTATAGACCACTTCTTCAATGCAATAGTCGTTCGAATCGATGCTATGATTGCCTTAAATGACACTCACTTTCAATGCACTCAATGTTGTGTCCAATACTTGACGACAGTTTGCAATACAAACCCCCGTTTGTGTCAACTCTAATGCATTGCACTCTCAAAGTGTATTCAATTCAATACTTCACTCATTAATTCATTTACTAATTATAACTCAATATTAAATTAATAGTAAACTATAATTAAATTTAAAATTATAAACTTTTATTTCAATTATAAGTATATATTTGAATAGTTTTTGATCACAAATTCAATTAGAGGTGAATTTATATTGAATTTTAAACTTTTCATTTCAATTCATTAAAAGTCTAACAATTGATGCGTTATTAAGACTAGGAATTCAATTAAATAGATATATATTTTAATATATGATTATTAACTTGAATGATAATTAGTTGCTTTTGTGGATATATAGTGAAAATATATAGTTTGAAAAACTTATAATACACTGTATTTTGAGAGTGGAGTCGGAGTGGGCTCTGGAGGCCGGAGACGAAGAGATGGATTGTGACGATTAGATGGAGAGAGACATAGGATGTGATGCCAAACGCGTTATTCACTCCTCGGCTCCCCTTTTATATGACAAACGAGCGGTTCGTTTGTCACACAATAGTATTCTTTGAATTCTAGATATTGTGACAAATTCTGTGTATTATTAGAGATATTATGATTGCTGTGGAAAAGAAAGAGTTGACGTGTAATGAAGTGTATTGTAGTGAATGTATGCAACAATTTAGTCGATATTAATCTATAATAAAACATGAAAATAACAATTTGCCAAATAATGCATTGCATTCTTCAATAGTGTACCAAAACTTTACAATATTTTGTTATTAACTTATTGTTAAATAACTTTATTTTTTCTAACTTTTTTTTATGACTTAAATTAATAACCATGGTCAGTTTAGTGCAAAAAATACTGTTATTTGTTTATTAAAATGTATTATTAATTTAGTTTTTTGTCAATAAAATGAATACATTTTTTAATTCAATAAAACATAACATTAAATGAGACTTTTATACAAATATGAAGTTTTTTACATTAAAAATATTACGGAAAAAATAATAAATGAATGGATTTGTTATCATATATAAAAGTGGATCCAATTCTTCACTTCATTTAATTGGAGTCTTCTCTCAGTTCATCGATTCGAGCGAACAGTTCCATCCATTTTGCATTCAATTCCTATGAATGACAACAAAAAGCAATTATAAAACACATTCGCGACAACAAAACAGCCACTCGTGAGGACAGTGGCAGTCAATGGTAACGCTATAATTACCACAATTATGGGCCAATCGTGGCCAACAATTGTCGACATTTGTCTCACCAGAGACTCAAGACTTTGGAGCCGATCGCTGTCCTCCGAGTTCTTGTTGTCCACCACTTCCCTCATCTCTAAGTGTTTGTCCAACAATTTCAGTACCAGATCTTCGTAGAGACCATTCTCTTGCCATAAGGTTTTCTTCGTTTCCATCATAACATTCACTTTGGCCTTCATTTTGGACACAATGCCCGCGAAGGTGTCCACCGACTCGTTAGTCCTCTTCATCTTCGGACCCGTCGGCCCATCCATGGCCTCCAATGGGGCGCACGTCTTGTCGTCTCCGCCGCCGACCAACTCTTCGCTCTTCCGTTTTGTCGCCATTCCTCTCGAGTCTTGTATTGAATAGCAATCGATGTCTCAATTGAATAACACTTCAAGTGATGTCTTCTCTAAGGCTTTCCTCTCAATCAATGACTGAATGAATGAATCGAACGATCGGTTTGTGCGAAGAAAGAGCGCGAAGACTAACCACACGATCGAAACACTCAACACTAACGCAACGAATGAGCGCTCAATTAAGGGTCCAATCAATGGCTGACAACTAATTATAGACCACTTATTGAATGAACAGTCGTTCGAATCGATGCTATGAATGCCTCGAATGAGACTCACTTTCAATGCACTCAATGTTGTGTCCAATACTTGACGACAGTTTGCAATACAAACCCCCGTTTGTGTCAACTCTAATGCATTCCACTTTCAATGTGTATTCAATTCAATACTTCACTCATTCATTGATTTACTAATTATAAACTCTATATTAAATTAATAGTAAACTATAATTAAATTTAAAATTATTAACTTTTATTTCAATTATAATTAAATATTTGAATAGTTTTTGATCACAAATTCAATTAGAGGTGAATTTATATTGAATTTTAAACTTTCACTTCAATTCAATGATTGATAACACAATATATCCATTGATTTACATATTTTGGTTAAAATTATAATATATTTTAAATAATTTAAAAGTATTTTAAAACATTAAAAGTCTAACAATTGATGCGTTATTAAGACTAGGAATTCAATTAAATAGATATATATTTTAATAAATGATTATTAAATTGAATGATAATTAGGGAATAAAATTGAATAACAATTGAAAATATCATTTCAAACCCAAAAATCCAATTAATTATATAATTAAAGACTTAGAACTAGAGAGCAATGCTTTCTTCGGTGGATTGAATCCATTGTCGATCGCAATCAATGGCCGATTCTTTGGCACATCGAGTGATGTCTTGTGAGAGTTGTGTTGAGTTTCGCTCATCGAGTGAACCGAGTCTTCAAATTGGGGACTATTGGGACGACTACTCGATTCAGTCACTTGTGTGGAGTCGTCATCGATGGTCACGCATTTGGATGAGCGGCCGATCGCTACCACTAATGCACCCGAAATGAAGACACAGATTCCCGTCAAATGGAAAGTTATGTTATAATTGCCGTACAAATCAAATAACCAGCCTTTCAGACAATACATTCAAATTATTCATTTAATATACGAGAGAGAGAGAGAGAGAGAGAGAGAGAGAGACTGACCTGCGATGGGAGGGCCCACCAATGACCCGAACCCTTGTACTAATAGCAACATTCCGTATGCATTTGTGAACAAATCCAATGAAATGAGATTCACTAATATAACGGAAACCAACGCATAGTTTGCACTAATTGTGAACCCGTAGAGAGCGGCCACACACGCCATTCCCCAGTAGTTGTGAACCCACGGTAAGACCGATAACGAGAGGCCACTTATGGCTATAAAACAGCTGTACAGAAGGGTCGGATCGACCCAATGTTTATCACCAAAATATCCGACTAAAACCTAATAAACAATTTGAAAATTACATTTAAAGTCAATTATAAAACACTCACTAAACAAAAACTACTCACAACTCCTAATGTATTGAGAATACCGATGATTGAGATGAGGAATGAGGCGGACTCACTGTCGGCCGCGCCCGACCGTATGGCCTGATCGGGCAAATAGACGTACGGGACGTCTATACACACGTATAGCAAGAAGTTTGAGAAACAAAACAGTGAATAACGAAAACTTTTAAAGTTTGAGACGTCTATCATATCAATGAACACATCCTTTAAATCGTATAGAAATCCGCTCTAAAATCAAACAAAATATATATAAAACTTATCGAAATCTACAATTTCATTGTCAATACCTTCTGATGTATGGCAACCATTGAATTGCGATATATATCGGGAGCGCTTGAGGCCCGAAGTCTATATTTTTTAATGTTAAGCATAGCCGACCTGTAGGTAAGACTACCCCTCTGTAGTCGTAGATTCCTCAACATGTTTGACGAGAGGGGCGACAGTTCGGCGCCGATTGCCGGACAGTTATTCTTCAATAAGACATTTGAATCGATAACTGAATCCCTTTTACTACTATTCACACAATTGTTGAGATTTTTGTTTGAATTGTATATATTTTTAGACGAATTATTATTATTATTACTAATTGGCGACGAAATTGTCTCAAATCGCAGATTCTTCGCTTGAGAGGTGATCGGCGACGAAGACGACGATAATAGCGGCGGCGCCAACGGTAGCGGCAATGGCTGACCAATGAATGCCAATTGATTTGTGACCAAAGTCTTGCTGGCGTTCAGGTCTAAGCCGTGGTTCTGGTATTCTTGAGGCATGAAAAAGGCGACCAGTTTTGGGTGTCTCTGCAGAAGTCGTCGCAAATAACCGCCTTTTTTGAGCGACAATTCGGTGATCACTTCGTGGGAGACGTTGGGCGTCGAGCCATCCGTTTGCCGGATATAAGTGGGAATGTGTATCAACGATGAGCACAAACGGCCGCCGTTGGCGGCGCTCATCAACTCCAGCGACTCTTCTCTGGTCTGATGGTCTTCGCTGTAAAACTTGTTAATCGTCTTATTGTAAGCTAACGGTGCGTTTGGATCGCTATTATCACATGTTTTGTCGGCCTTCTCGAGGTCGGCGGCGGAGGTGTCGGCGTTGTTGGCGGCGGTGTTGTTGTTGTTGTGGCCACTGTTCGGCTCGATGTCTCTCATTAAGGCCCCGAAGTTTGCGATATTGAGGAATATCGCACCCAATATGAGTAGAGTTCCCCTCCAGTCGTACTCTTTCAGCAGGAATATAGTCAACGGCGCGAACAGAAACGTCCCGAAACCGGAGCCGCAAACGGCGAGACCGGTGGCCAGCGATCGGCGGCGCTCGAAGTAATAGGCGACCGACACTATACTCGTCACGTAACACAGGGCCAAACCCAGTCCCGCGAAACTGAACGCCACGAACAGGTGCTCCAAACGGGTGGCGAAGTGGCCGGCGATGAAACCGGTGGCCGACATGAGTGAGCCGCACATCGCCACACGACGGCACCCGAAGTGGTCGGTCAGAGCGCTGGCGATCGGGCCTGTGATCAGTGGTATGGAGAGGAATAGTGAGCCGACCCAAGAGGTCTTGGATTTACTTTCGCCGAAATAGTCGACTAATTCCATGAATATAATGCCGAAAGAGAGGGAAACGCCGTCCGATATGAGGTTAATCATGAATGAGGCGAACACCACAACCCAACCCCAGCCCCCGTCCGGCGCCGCACTTCCGCCACCACTACTGCTATGAGCTCTTCGTAAAGGGTTTTGGCAACTGTTGGGCTTATAATTGGTTTGATTGGCCGTATTGTTGGTCGAGTCAGACCACGACAGCCGTGAGCTTCGGTTTGAGGACTCATTTGTTTTCTGGTTATTGTTATTGACGTAAATGTGACTTAAATTACCGACATTTGGATCAATTGAAGGCAATAAACAAATGGATTCCTCAAAACTGACTTCAGTTGGTTTGACTCTGAAGTCCTGCACATCGGATGTGTTATAAACATGTCATTAGAAAATACATTTATGAATCAGAAATAGGGAAAGGAGTGCAAAGGGAGACAACATTCCCATAGGGGAGAGAATAGCAAAGAATATTCCCATAGAAGAGAGAATATTCCTATAGGAGAGAGAATGGGAGAGAATATTCCTATAGGAGAGAGAATGGGAGAGAATATTCCTATAGGAGAGAGAATGGGAGAGAATATTCCTATAGGAGAGAGAATGGGAGAGAATATTCCCATTGGAAAATGGAGAGAGAGAGAGAGAGAGAGAGAGAGAAGTGAGATAAACGAAAAAATAATTGTGGTTTGAATTTTTTCCCTTGATGAAGTAAATATCTATTTAGATATCTATATATAAAACACAAATTCGTTTAATCGATAAACAATTACTTACACGACAATCCACTTCTAATTTGTTGGCTAAATATTTATTGATCTATTGATATGTTGTCATTATATGCAATGAAATAACGTTAAAATCACTTATTTTGTAATAAATAATTCCTAAAACACAAACAATAATAACAAAAACAAGTAAAACAAAAGTTTTTAAATCAAATTATATACACTGTTTCAAACAATTTCAATAACACACACCATGTATTGATTTTTTAGCACTCATAGGAATACAACTGCAAAATATGAAAATTTATATTCAATTTTGTTAAGATTTCTATTGCAATGTATTGATACAAACCCTATGAAACACTACTACAGAATAAATAAAAATTTCACAGAATATTCTCAATTAATGCCAATTTTGTGATGAAATAACAAAACAATATACGATATGTTTATTTTTCCCGAGAATCAAGTTTAGAGATTTGCGAATGTATTGGAAAATCATTGTTTAAACATTATTGTTAACCATTATTATCAGCGAATATATCGCTGTATAATATCACATAACAATCGCATCTGTTTTTGAGGTATATTTTTAGATTTTGATTTAAGCCTTTTATCTTTACATTTTCATATCAGTCTCTTTCTCTCTCTCTCTCTCATAGTATTTATCAGTAATCAATAAATAATTAAAGTGGAAATATTTCTAAAAATAAAATTTTGTTTTCAAAGCTAATATTTTAAGGCAAGTAAAAATATATTTAATACACAATTAAAACTATATTTAATATGTTTGTCTTTGGGACATATAATTTGTTATATAAAAACCCAAACACTTTGATTACAAGTTACAAGTGATGACTTACATTGTTTATACTGTCGACTTTCATATTGTTCAACACATGAAAAGTACAATATATTTATATTTAATATATTTTTCATTAATAACAAAAATATGACAAAAATGTTTAAAACTGTTTTTTCCTGAGGATTAAACATTAAACACACTAAATATCTAAATAAAAAACATTAATTAAATATTTTCTGATATAAAATCTCTTTGCAAGCAATTTATTCATAAATATTATAATCGATAAAAATTCGTTTACAAAAAGTGTGAAGATATGAATTTAATTATCAATATTATACATACAGTGTATGTATTACTGTATATTATTATATGTAATATTGTACTGTATATCATATACAGTGCACTATATTTTGAAAATAATTTTTATTTTAATACAAATTTAGTTTATGTATAAAAATCTTTAGTTTTTTAATTTATATGTAAATTAGAAATATATTTTAATTTATTCAATATAACTCTTTCAGACAAATTAAAACCAAATCCTATATTCAGTAATTATTTTCATAGCGTTTATTGTATTAATAAAGAGAAAGAAAATTGTATATAACTATTGATTAACTATTTTGAATATATTATGTGCAAAAGTGGTCAACAATGGCATCATTTATCGTGATTGTAATATATGACCATTTATAATAACTATTCACATTTATTGAATGGTTTGCAATGATTTATATGCATTTCTCCATAAGAATAAATAATAGCATTCTTACATAACAGTAACCATTTTTCATATATTTGTCAATACATTTTTATGCACAAATATTCAAATGATATTGTATTATGTATGATTTTAGATTTTTCTTGAAATTTTTTCTCAATACGAGTGATAAACGTATAAGGAAAATACAAAACAACTCAACATTTAACCACAAAACATAATGATAAATTTATATTTGTATTATAAATGTAATCCATATCTTATTTTTCTATAAATCTTTAAATATGTAGCTCTCTCTCTCTCTCTCTCTCTCTCTCAGTATAATCGATAAAAACTCATCAATATAAATATTTTTTTGTTAGTGTGAAATAAATAAAATCAAATATTTATTAATATTGATATAATTCAGAGGCGTTATACAGACGGGAATAATGTGATGGATGTGTCCATTAAAGTGACACTAATATTAGCCAACAGTTAAGAGCTGATGAAAAGCACATTATTATATATTTAGTATAAATCTATATATTATTCATAAAAATATTAATATATAACTAAAATGACAGAAACTATTGAATGAAAAGCACAAAAAATATACCCAAATATACTGTTATATCAATAGATAGAGAAAATTGCCAACAAATGAATTGATGCAAAATTGTGTCAAAAACACTTTCCTTATATATATATATATATATATATATTGAGAAATAAATGTTGCTATACATTGCAAATATAGTATTTTTGCCCCCGAAATGCCCCCATTTATAGTCTCGTAGACGACGAGGTCTATAGATATCATTGACAAAAATATTATGTCAATAAAATTTGCTGTATTATGTTTGGTTTGGATCATGGTAAGATATATGAATTTATACCATATTATATCGTTTTGTGTAAGATGATGCTAAAAATACATATTAATGTTTTATTTATTGTGTGATTTGATGCATTTTTATGAGCAGGATTAACTTATCAACCCTAGATCATTTATTATTTATTTTCAGTAATAAGTTTCCTGATATTTTGGAAAACGATAGGAATTATTCATTTTTTGTAAGAAATTTTTAATTGTTTGAAAAATGGGTAAATCTCTGGCTTTTTATTAACGATACGATCAATCAATTTGTGTCTATTTTGTGCATAATTTATAACATTTTTATGAATTGATTTGATTATAATTTATTTATATTTTGTTGGTATAAATCAGTTAACGTTTAGATTTATTGATGAGAAAAAATTTTAAAATAATAATAATTTTATTTATAAATATAATTTTACAAAATAAACACTAAAACCTAAATATAAAGTTAATAAAAAAATATCAATTACATTATGTAAATAATCGATATCTTATTTTAGTTATGGGTCATAACTTATGGCTTTACTAAGTCATTGCAATTATACAATAGTTTTTAGTATTGATTAGTAAATCTACAACTTTAATTAAATGCATGTAAAATGTTGTCATAATATTTTAACACATGAAACCAATTATAAATAACTATTTCGTAAAACTCTTTCAAATGTTAATTACATAAAAGTGTCCGTATTTTCACAACTTTTAAATAATAATTATATTTTATAAAAATGTATTTAATATATGGCTTCTAAAACTATTTTAGATCCTTAGTTGCAATTATTTTTAAATAAAACAAACAAAATAGCATTCATTATTTGAACAGTAAGTATAGGACTTATAATTATAATAAAAGCAAAAAGTTAAGTCACTTTTTAAGACATACCAAAGACAAAGAAATATTTTTTTTTGCAATAATTAGTTTTATAAAACACAAGAGTTTTTAATATCCACGGATTAAATATGATTTTGAGTGTTAATTACTTTTATATATCGATACAGTATGTGTGCAATGAAACAAATTTATCACATAAAACAAGCCTAATATTGAGTGACATATAAGTGCGAAACAGAGACTGAATTTTCATTAATTTATGCCTTAAAATACTTTCATCTCTTCTGACATTTGCATCGCTTTTATCCACTTTTTCGCTAATAATTATATAAACCAAAAAATAATATCGATTTGTGCTCTCATTAAACACCAGAATAATTAGGAAATTGGTGTACAGATTGGGTGTGATTTTGCCGGCAATCCTATCATAAATAAATACATGAATTTTGTAATTCATTACGCGTTTTATCATTACATTTACTGATAAAATATTTATAAAATATTATAAATATTAATAATGATCTTTATATTTAAATATTAAACCTAGCATTCCTGGTATAAAAAGCTTTTAGCAAAAGTGTGTTTATGGTATTTATAATATTCAATTTGCGTAAAACATTAATTTTAAACATTTATTATACAGTGTTTAGAATTTGCATTGAAGTTATTTAGAAATTTATAAATTAATATTAATTATTAGACATATTTTTTATGCTATTTATTGCATTTAAATCTAATGTCACATTTTTAATATATTTAAAATTTAATATTTCATAAATCAGTATAAAGAATACGAAAATTGTTTAATTCATTATTTTTAAACATGCTGTTAGATCAGGAAACAAAAAACCATTAAACATTATGATTTTAATATTATTTGTAATTACTGTATATAACAATTTTAGCATATTCGTAACATGTTATTTGTGGTAAATCTTTCAAAACAAAGGTTTAATTAAATTATTTATATATTTTTTTCACTTGATCACTTAATGCCGTCTCTCTCTCTCTCTCTCTCTCTCTCTCTCTCTCTCTCTCTCTTCAAACATATATCAGATTAAAATTTTACGCGATGTTTAAAGAGAGAAATGTATATTGAGTTTAAATCGTGTTGTGTTTAATACCAAACTATCTCTAATCGATTTGTAAATATTTTCTGCTTTCATTCATATGCTGTAGAATTTACAAATCAAAAATCTATTTAGATTTAGTTTCAGTAATGCATGTATTATGCAATACAGTATATAGAGCTAAACTGTATACAGAGTATTATATAAAGTTATATATAGGTATACACTGTATAACTCAATAACCAACAAATATATCCGGAATATACTTTATATATTATTCACACGTATTTACTATTGATATTCTGATTTGGTATTTGCTTTTCTACTCAATTTTGTGTTTATTTTAA